ACTGTGTTTTTCACATATTTTTGTTTTTCCCTGAGGCCTAAGAACGTTTCTACCTCATTGGATATGAACTTTAATTGTTCGTTCAATGATTAAACTCGAGAAGTTTGCATGATGGTGCTGGGGTTGGGGAGGAGGGGCACTATTTAAGACTGCTCACTTCTTAGACGTGCGTGTCCAGGGCTAATTGTCAATTAGTCCCACTGACCACGGGGATTTTTCCCCGATGTATTGGCTATCTCTGGATTTAGTAAACCCAGGTAGAGACACAGCCATCACGGCAGTCAAAAGTGGTGGTTTAGGAAGATCGTTACACACAGCCGTTCACTAATAATTCTAGATTCCTCTCCCCTTTCCTGCTGAAGGGTCCATGGGAGAAGACAACCAAACCTCTAACCTGGATTTCTTCCTCCTGGGAGATAGTGGTCATCAGGAACAAGAAACGTTCTTCTTCATCCTCTTCCTGTTCATTTATCCCATCATATTGATTGGAAACCTGCTCATCATCTTGGCCATTCGCTCTAACATTCGCCTTCACAACCCCATGTATTTTCTCCTTGCCAATCTCTCCTTAGTTGACATCTTCTTCTCCTCTGTAACCATTCCTAAGATGCTGGTCAATCATCTCTTGGGCACCAAAGCCATCTCCTTTGGAGGATGCTTAACACAGATGTATTTTATGATTGGCATGGCTAACACAGATAGCTATATCTTGGCAGCAATGGCATGCGATCGTGCTGTGGTCATCAGCCGCCCACTTCATTACACAACAATTATGAGCTCACGATCTTGTGTCCTGCTAATTCTTGGGTCTTGGGTGGTTGGAAGTGCCAACGCCCTCCCACACACTCTGCTGACAGCTAGTCTGTCCTTCTGTGGAAACCAGGAAGTGGCCAACTTCTACTGTGACATTGCCTCTTTGCTCAAGCTGTCCTGTTCTGACATCCACTTCAATGTGAAGATGATGTACCTAGGAGTTGCTGTTTTCTCCATGCCATTACTATGCATCATCATCTCCTATGTTCAGGTCTTTTCCACAGTCTT